AAAACCTATTTTACACTTTCATAACGTTTTGATACCAGTTTGGGGGTTAACTATTTGCACATAGCTGGGACCCTAACAGATGCTACCATCCCGGGTCAGGGGTGGACCTGGCAACACCAGCAGTTAAGAGGTGGTTCCACGCTCCTCAATGATCAAGAGTCCCTACTGTTGGATGTAGTTTATATATATATATATATATATATATATATATATATATATATATATTATATATATTTGGCTTTTGAATTTTAAAAAATGTTTCGTAATCATTGATTGACTTTCAATCATTCCACCTCACCTGCTATCCTCTTCATCCGTACCTATGAAGAGCTCCATATCGTTTGGGAACTACTGGTTTACGGCGATGTTTAACAATGAATACGTACAGTATATGCGACTTATAGAAAAACAAAACAAATGACAGACATTGGCAAGGGAGTTAACCGACTGAATAAACAATGTTAAATTATAAAAAGACCAAGAAACTATGAAAACAATAAAAGAAAAAATAGAACACAAATAAACAAACAAGAATAGGGTACAACAAAATCTAAAATCAAATATAAGACATTAAAATTATAAACTAAACAACAATATATAGTTAATTATAAAACGAAAGACAACATTTTTTAAAATGGCAGTAAATGGTGGAGCTACACGATGTCTAAGCTTTTATGAAAAAGACTATTCTTTTATCATTTCAGCCCATTACACTGGAACGAGAAAAGAATAGTCTTTTTCATAAAAGCTTAATTATCAATAGCTGAGGAGCTCTAGTAATACCTCTTGATATTACCAGGTGTTGTTGATTCCATGTCACCATATTAGAACTATTCAAATGCATCGTTTGCCCGTCTTGAGTTCCCTTGGTATATTTCTGGAGTCATCATATATTTGACAAAATAAGCCGACTTGAATTGGTTATATCCCCCCACTTAGACATTTCTTTTCGTTTCTGTGGTGATATTTTCTGCGTCACGGTTGCAATATTTTATACTGTACGATTTACTTTCAGAAGCCCACATGATATTTTCCACGGAATGTACCGTTTATTCAACAATATGAACCTCATTTTGAATTAAACTACCAGATGATAATGTTGGAACGAAGCAATATTTATACCATTTTAATCACGGGACTACAAAAATATTTAAGAGTATAATAAAAAACTTTGTAAAACGTTTGACCTTCAATGTTTTGCTTTTAAGAAGGAGATACAAAACAAAGAATACTTAAGGTGGATGTTTCCTTTTTAATTGGCTGTCAGTTCAGCTTCGTGTTCGTCTTTACAAGCAAGAGAAGAAGAAGAAAAAAAAACAAATGACAGACATTGGCAAGGGTGTTAACCGACTGAATAAACAATGTTAAATTATAAAAAGACGAAGCTATGAAAACAATAAAAGAAAAAATAGAACACAAATAAACAAACAAGAATAGGGTACAACAAAAACTAAAAGCAAATATAAGACTATAAATTTATAAACCAAACAACAATATATGATTAATTATAAAACGAAAGATAACATTTTTTTTAAATGGCAGCAAATGGTGATTTTACATGTCTAATTTTGTTATTCAAATAAATGTTTTCACTGTAAATTTGGTATTAATCAACTGATGTTGCAAAAAATTTCTGGATATATTTATATTATTATATATAAATATAACGTGAATTTTAGATTATTATATCTATTTTATGAAGAATATTTATAACTTTAGTATGACATTTTATTATGTAACTCAAGGTCGTTGTATAGTGACGTGGGGCTTAGGGCTTAAAATGTACCGTTGATTTATCCACGCTTAATGACGGATGATAAAGACAAGGAAACACACGGGTAATTTTAACAAAACAAGATAAGGAATATATTCACAAATTTACACTCTTAAAGTAGTTTCAGTAGCTCGTTTCAGAAAAATAAATCAGAATTCTTAAAGGCCGTAGTTTGAACGAATTGTCATGAAAAGGTAATGTTCATACAATAGATTCAATGATCAGACACAAAATAATATTCAAAATGTTTAAAACAAAAGTAAGATAGTTCGCTTCTCACCGAAGAGATATATACGATTAAAAGTAGACGAAGAGAAATAGTTTGAAATTCTTAGCTTTCTTTGATTGTTGAGAGAAAATTATTTGAAGTGCCCCGTGCTGTTTAGTGGCCGATAATATAATTGGTAAGTAATTTTATACTGGCGAGAATTTGAACGCTGATCTCAAGGAACTAAAACGAATTCTTTTCACATATCTTCAGACGCTCTTCTCTGATTTATTTAATTTTTCTCTTAATTTTATATGAAAAAAAAAAAAATTTGGTACTTTCTTCCACTTCTCTGCTAATTTCTGTGAAACCAAGGTTTTCATTGATCCCAAAACAATTTCACATAGGCTTGCGAATTTCTTTCCTTTTTCTTCTCAGCTCACCGATCAATTTCTGTGAAGGCAAGGTTTTCACTGGTTCAGAGAATATTTCTTACAGACTCGCAAATTTATTTCCTTCTTCCTCTTCAGTCCTCCGAATTCGAAGAGAGTCGGTGAAGGTAGTTATTATTATTTTGCACAATCTACAGTTGATCATATTGCATTACTAAATAAATGTAATCGTATGGTTACTGATTTTTCGTTACTATTAACTTTATATTTTTGGGTACGCGTGTTTAAGTAGACTTTCCTTTTTTGTTCTTTGAGTTGTTGTTTTTTGTTTGTTTTTTGTTTTTGTTTTTTTGTTTGTTTGTTTTTTTGTTTTTGTTTTTTGTTTTTAATAGTGGAATTAATGTCAACCGGAAGTACGGTTGAGTAATGGTTAACAGCTCGTATTGAGGAATCGGAGAGAGGAGTTCGAATTCCAGTCGAATCCATTACATTCACTTACGTGCTAATACCCTTGGGAAAGGTATGAATCTTCTTCTTCTTCTCCCCCAGCTATGGGTAAATAGCATTATTTTCGAATAAAGTATCTTGTTTATGTTTTAGTATTGCGCATAGAAGCTTATCCAGGAAAAAGAAATATGGGAGAATTTGAAGTGAGAAAATTGCGTTGCGTCAAGATACCAGATTTCAAGCATTGGTGATATTAGATTTTAATCGAAATTCGTACACATACCCGGAACATCGATAAACAATACGAACTATCATCAAGTAAGCCTGTCCATATACACGTGCATATAATGTGCGTGTGGTCGAGTAAGAACGTTCGCTTTCTGAGCATGAGACTCGGGTTCGGATCAAGTTGTCAGGAGCGAGTCTTTTTGTCTGGGTAGGCGATCCGAGCGTTCGACACCATTGGAAAATGCTTGAAAACTATATCAAGGGTTGACCCAAGCCTTGGGATTGAAATTGAATATGCAGAACTGTTTGTAAGCTGCCGATGTTTATGTTAGCACGAAATCAGAAATCATTGTGACCAAATTTTTAAGCGTACAAGCCTTGTACAGACTTTTGATCACTACAGATTGTTACGCTCTTTAACTTTAACTAGGGTCAACTCAAGCTGCAGTATCAACTTGGGGTGGATTCCTTGGGTGTTAAACAAACGTTTGCTGCAAGGTTGACGCAGATATACCTGAGTAAACGAGTGTGCTCGGGAACCAGTTGCCGGACATCATTCATTCATTCATTCATTCATTCATTCATTCATTCATGTATGTATGTATGTATGTATGTATGTATGTATGTATGTATGTATGTATGTATGTATGTATGTATGTATGTATGTATGTATGTATGTATGTTATATAGGAACGTGGCTGAGTGGTTAGAACGTTCGTATTCTGACCTTGAGACCCAGGTTCGAATCTCACTCTGGTCGATTTGTCAGGAAGGAGACTTCCTGATGTTATCGGATTGGAGTGTGGCACCAGCGTGTGGCACCTTTGGAACGTTCCTGAAAACCCTACCACGGGTTGACCCAAGCCTTGTGAATGAAATTGGAACCCTTAGCACGAAGTCACAAGTCAAGAGCGTGCTGGCCTTGTTCATATTGTTGATCACGCTAGATAACACGCTCTTTCCCAAAAACTGTAAGCTAGTTGCAGTATAAAACATGGGGTGTTGAATAAACACAAATTCACCCTAGTAGACGGGTATGCTCGAATACGAGTGGCCAGCTATACTATAAAACATATGTATGTATGTATTCCTGCACGTTTATAACTAGACAGATACTTATGTCTAGATTAGAAGACGTTAAACGATAGAATGAAGAAAGTTGAAGGAAGGTACATTTGATAAGAATAGAAGCAGAAGCTATTTTATAATTTTGTGCAGTGGAGATCGAATCTTTTTAAGTCTGATTTATAGCCTGATTATTCCTAATTTATTTTGATGATAAATTGATCCAGGTTTCGTTTATAATTTACCAAAGAGAAAGTAAAATGACTGTTGTCTGTAACCCTTATGACTTCTCGAATCAATCATTAAAGACACGGCTCAAAGCCGGTTAAAAATAAACGACCCTTTTTTCCCTCCTGGCTTTTGATCTGACATCAAATCAACCGTTTAGTCACAGAGATGAACAAATGACACAACATCTACAAATTGTTAATGGAACAATCCTTATAAACTTTCTGGTTTAATAACAATGTATCCGTAAACTAACCGAAATATTTGCACGATTATATAATCAATGTTTTTTTAAAACTCTTTTATAGCAGACAGGTAAGACAATGAATCTTTTAAAATGGAAAACGTTAATCTTTTAAAATAGAAAAATTAACAGAATTAATTTACACATCAGCAAATGAACTTTGATTATTATAAACTAATTTTGGCTAAATCTTAGGCCGTCATTCTACAATCGTTAGTCTGTATAGAAAATAAAGTTAAGTCTTCGTTACAATTCGAACCCTTATCCCATTTCATCAGTAAGCGCACGGAGTTGAGATAGCTGCATTACTGATTAGGCTACACATTCCAGACGTTCATCTTTAAATATAAAAGGTGCGGTGATAAATTGTCGTCTAAATTACACAAAAATGAAAGTCACACTGACATCTCATTTTAACAGATATATTTACCAAAATTACACAACAAAATCTAGAAATACTAAAGAGTAAATTTATTCAATAAAATCGCTATTGGCTTCAACAACTCTTCTGGGCCGTCTTCTTGTTTGGTGAATGCTGCCATAATCCTTGCCTTCAGTTTATCATCGGTGTTACACACATAATAATGAAGGGGGTTGCAGTCTGGTGAGACAGGTGGCCAGGTGTAAGGGGTGATTTGGTCGCAGAAATTATCTGACAGCCATGACTAGGTTCCTCTGCTTGTGTGGCATGGTGCAAAAATGTTGAAAGACATAGGATCTTCCAGCAGGGCAGCACTACCTCCTCAAGGCATTTGATGTAGGCCTCCGTGTTGAATCTGGGGTCCTCACCAACAAATTCAGGAGTTCTTTTCTTCTCAGAACAATCAAAGTGAGTTTTCCGATCTGCCGTACCTTCGTAATCACCATTAGACTCATCCAACTCTTTCCGAATCCTCTGCAATGTCCTCAGATTGACACCCAAACACTCTGAAATGTTTGTATTGGAGCTTCCATTGCGAATGCCAAGCAGTACAACATGCCTTTTCCAAATTTCTGCGTCATGGTGCTCTCTTTCTCATAGACGGTGCACAAATGGCCCTAATATACAGTGCAGACGACAAAATCAAAAACAAACAACGGGCATGCGCGAAATTAAAAATATAAAATGGCGACAATTTACCAATTGCACCCTGTAAAGATTTTTTATTTTATTTTCCTTCAATCTCCTGGATACGTCACTTTCTTTATAATAATAATATTAATAGTAACTAAAAATACCTGTGAAAATTTCAGCGTTTTCCTATTTAAATTTTATGACGAATCTTAATTCTTATGTTAATGATTGGATAAGTTCGTGGTGAGTTCTATGGTAATAAAATATCTGTAGAAATTCCCGTATCTCATCGTTAAATATTTGAGCTTAACAACTTTAACAAAATATTGCATTAACAATCATTAATATGAAAGCTAGTCGTTGCTAAAGAAATGAGGAGGTGCAGATAAAAAGATTGATTTTTTATTTCACTGAAACAGGTGTTAACCTACGAAACCAAGTATCATATCTGATGTGTATTTTCCGTCTTTCCACGCGATCAAAACGGAATAGTCCATTATTTATGAGGAGGCGTTCAACACTTCTATCTTCACTTCTTTCTTTCTTTCTTTCTTTCTTTCTTTCTTTCTTTCTTTCTTTCTTTCTTTCTTTCATTTTGTCACTGAAACCAAGTAGTATCTCTGATATGTCTTTTCCGGCTTTCCATGCTATCAAAACGGAATAGTCTATTATTTATGAGTTATTCGCAGGACGTAACGTACGTACGCGTTAAGAAACTAAGAAAGTGACAAGCAGAATTTTAATAGGATATTATTATTCATTACAAGAAGTATTGTTAATAATTAAGTTTCACTGGTATTTCTCAAATCTTATTTCAACTTGTATCCCAAACCGTCATTCTATAATGTCTTTAAGACGAAATAAATAAATAAGGATAATCGAAAATATTCCATCTAACAAATTCCAATAATATCATAATGCTTTTAAAATTCTCTTTAAAGAAGATTGATTTTCTTGTTTTATTATTTTACGATTAAATATCACTGTTCATTTCTTTTCTTAAATTGCTGAAAAGATTTCAATATAATATCACGCCACTGATTATAGTAACTTATATATAATGCCTGACCGCATTCTGACCTTCCTCAGTAAAAGTTCACCTGAAAAAATTTATAAAGCCTCTACAAGTTTTAGTTTCATTGACTGACTAGTTGTTCTAGAAATATTTCGATCAAATGGAAGCAGCGTGACATCAAAATTATAAAATTATTCGTAACGAAAAAGTAGGACAGATTAGCGTTTACTTGTATCTACGACCAATCACAGTAAGCAAAACCGTCTCATTGGGAAGTTCGTATTTTTTTATGAGTTAGATGCGAAATAAAAGACCTGAGGGACAACAATAAATGTGTTTTTTTTTTAATACCCAGAGAGGAAAACGTCGACAGTGATATGTTTAATACGATGGTAATTTTTCGAGACTATTCCGACGTTTGTGAGCGGTAGAGTTGTTGCTTTGCAGGTGTTACTGAAAACTAAAGGAAACAAATAGCCCTGTGTAGACCTTGTGCGCATGCGTGTAAAAAGGGATAGGTAAGCGTAGAATGAAAATGAATGGGGAAAAGGTATTTTACCTCGACTAATTTTTTTTTTCTTTTGCGACCTTTCACCTTGAACCCGTTCATATGAATCTACTGACTCTCAGTGGATGACATGTCACTATTGTCGGAGCAATGTGGTATCTTTAGAGAGTGTACTGTAGTTATCGAAGGCAAGAAAAAGAAGAGGAAGAGGAGTAGGAGGAGTATAAGAAGAACAAGAACAAAAAATATTGGGGGAATTCGAAAAAATAGGGAAATTTGAAAAGCAATGGATAAAAATATTGGAATTTATTTTAATTATTGGAAAAGTCATCTAGTTTGATACGTATTTATATAGATAGAAAAAAAAAGAAAGAAAGAAAGAAAGAATGGAGATCCCAAGGAAGACGAAAATTAGACTGTATTTTTTTGTACAAATATTACGTTAAAAATCTATTATTTCGATACGAGTTCAATAGTTGTTTATCGAATATAAATAAAAAGCAAAAAACGAATCAGTTACCGTCTAACGCAGTGTTTCTCAATCAGGGCTAAAACTATGGGGATGCACATTAAATTTTAATAAAGAAAAATTAGTCACGAAATTTGAAAATAGGAAAATAAAGAATTCTCCTGATATAAGCATTTATTTTAAGACATTGTATAATTAAGTATGTTCGCATGAAACCTATGCTTTTTTTTTTTAAATATAAAAATAATTCATAAATTACTTTTCTATTAACTTCGGGCGTACCTGGCTACACGGATGCACTGGATGAGAAACGCTCGTCTAACGAGTTAATCGAATGCAACAAAATACTGGGCACAACATGGTATTCATAGTGAGTGCCACAATTATTTTTTTTTTTTTTATTCAAATAGATTAACTTTTCAAAATGATGACCGCTAAAATTACCGCTGGTTAATGAGATTTTAGGTCAATTTTCGTCAAATATGATTTTAAGTGACTCACTCATTGTCGTTACTAAGCATGTCATTGATTTAGAGTTTAAAATCAAAACAAAAAAAAATATTTTTGTTTATCTCGCTTAACGCTTACTATTTGGCTTGACAATTAAAGTTAATTAACTATGGAACACGTATAACATAATAACCTTCTGGCTTCAATTCCTCAAAAAGATTATAATGGATTTTTAAAGAGTTAATTATTTTGTGCTGTAAAAGAATCTATAGCGGACGATTAAAGAATAAAAGCCTGTAAAATTAAACAGCACTGAATCTACCATACTTTCCCCATTGAATCAGTTTTTATTTCTTTCGGGATTTGTCAAATGTCACCGCCTTGTCGATTAATGCTTCCTATTGTTAAGTCTGTAACAATTTACGAGGACAGATCAATAAGACTGCAGCCTAACAAAATTATATGAATTTTGTTCTTAAGTTTTCACTATCTTCGATCTACGTAATTGACAGAGAAGTGTGTATTGACAACGAAGGAGATTATGTTGAAAAATAATTGTATCTTCTGTAAAATAATCTTTTTCATCGCGTTGTATTAAATAAATATTACATGTGTAAAATAAAAGTTTACATCGCGTTTTATTGATTTACCTGAATATATATAGACCTTTTACAGATAAATTTGAAACAAGTAGCACCCACTGGATAAAATTACAAGCAATATGTAATGAGACAAACAGACCTTTTTGTTACAAGCAATATGTAATGAGACAGAACTTTTTGTTACAAGAAATATGTAATGAGACAGGCCTTTTTGTTACAAGCAATATGCAATGTGACAAACGAACATTTTTGCTACAAGCAATATGTAATGGGACAAACAAACTTTTTCAAATAAATTTGAAACATGGAACACCCATTGGATAAAATTACAAGCAATATGTAATGAAACAAACAGACCTTATTTTTAAAGCAATATGTATTGAGACAGACCTATTTGTTACAAGCAATATATAATGCGACAAACAGACCTTTTTTGTTATAAGCAATATATAATGTGACAGAACTTTCTGTTACAAGCAATATGCAATGTGACAAACAGACCTTTTTGTTACAAGCAATATGTAATGAGACAGACCTTTTTTATTACAAGCATTATGCAATGTGACAAACAGACCTTTTTGTTACAAGCAATATGTAATGAGACAGACCTGTTTGTTACAAGCAATATGTAACGAGACAAACAGACCTTTTTGTTACAAGTAATATGCAATGTAACAAACAGACCTTTTTGTTACAAGCAATATGTAATGAGACAGACCTATTTGTTACAAGCAATATGTAACGAGACAAACAGACCTTTTTCAGATAAATTTGAAATAAGGAGCACCCATTGGATAAAATTACAAGCAATATGTAGTGCGACAAACAGGTGTACCAACGTTCTATGATGCACGGGTCAAATAATAAATAAGCTGGAAGACACGATATTTTGTACGTTGCAACGAAAAACCTCGACAGCAAGAACAGAAAGCCGAAATTTTCTCTTTTCCATTTTATTTTTACATTGACAGACAATATAAAAACCTATGTAAAATTGTCGTAGTTCTTAATTAAATGTAAGATAAATCTTCACCACACTCCAAATATACAGCTATCTAGTGTGCATTCATATACACACATACACACACATGCGCGCACAGAGTTATGCCCAACACACGATGACTCTGAATTAACGCGCCTACTAGAATTCACAAATAATACATCTCACACAGTGAAGACATAAGAATAAACAAACAACACCAAAACAACCCCTTGAAACTGGTTAAAGAAGTGGCCGAAAGCGCTTGGGACAATCGAGGATATGGACATGTTTTGTACTCACTCAGCCCGACCAAACGGAAAAATGTAAGAACGCT